GGACACGCCATGATAAAACTGGAATACTGTTAAAAGCGGCGTTAAACCCAACTCATTCACTCACTCATTCATTTATGGCTGACAAAATCAATTACGTCACATCTGAAGTAACTTATTGAGATTTACATGTCATTCACACAAATTTCAGTCACAATTTTCTCTTTTTCCCCAGAATATTTTACTTCGGTTCAAGACTACTTTATGTATTAACGGCAATTTAACGCCAATGTTTTGTTCAACAACAAAGATTCATTAGGTACCTTATTTGTCTGTGGACTGGCAGTCATATGAATTACCGGTCCAAGCCTAATTTTGCCGGTAAGAAACTGGTAATTACTGATAAACACTGGATATATTGATACATTAGCATAATCAGGAGTGGGACATTCGAAAACATTATAACTCGTCATTTGACAGGTATTTATGTCGAAGTGTCATTTATATTTAGGTGGCCCAGTTGTCTGAGGCAACACAATTCTCTGTGCTGAAATGCCAGAGACCTATGATTGTGGGTTGAACTCCTGGCTCGCCTCCATTATCATGCTTATGATTATGGTTTTAGGTTGTCAACACCATACCTGTACTTGCGAATTGTGGTAAACATCTGAGACCTGAATCACTTCAGGCTTTCATGTCACATTTAGCTGACATGCTATGAAATAACTGGAATACTGTTACAAGCGGCGTTAAAACATGTTAAACTCACTCACTCATATATAATATATATATCAGAAAGCCATCTTTGTCTTTTTTATGCAGGTAATAGTCAATTAATGTGTCTTAAGCCTTCAAATGAAATTAATGCATGAACAAGGTAAGTTAAGGGTCCCTGTTTTCCTGGGACCCATTCCACAAAGCGATCTTAGCGCTACGACTGTCGTAAGTTAGTGTTAAAGAATGCGAGTTACGACCGACTTAGCGCTAAGATCGCTTTGTGGAACGGGGCCCAGGTGCTCTCCCTAGTTCAGTGGCTGAAATAGCTGCCTGCCCGCTGTCCCGTGGCTGGTAACATTTCTGTCGGGATAGGTGTAATTTATTCCAACCTGCTGACTGCCTAGGAGAAAATGTCTTTGCGACATTGACACATTTTTGAATCTGCCACTGACATGTGACTCACTTACCTAAGAGCTGAGCTACCTTTGTGATTACAAGGCTGTAGTGTAAACGTTAATCTGAGAAAAATTATAGTGATTATCTTTTCAAGCATGCTTTTACAAAAACGTGACTATAGGAGGGCTAGTTACATTAATGAGTCACCAGTCTGTCTTGCTTGTTGGGAGTACAAAGTATAATGTTGAATGTTCAAGATTTAGGGGGTCATGACTCATGAGCTTCCAACATACTGCTCAACCTTTGACAGGGATATTCTGAGTGTGGGGCCCGAATGAGTGTGATTAGCTACTTGGTGTCACGTTCAGCTTCATGTACAGTTAATAAAAGTATGTAAACAATTCAAGTAACCCAGTGGCTGTCCTCACTTTGCATAACAGTATGAAATGGCCTTGTATCCCTCTCAAATGTACAGGGTGACTGTGCTTGTCGTAAGGGGCGACTAACGGGATCGGGTGGTCAGGCTCGCTGACTTGGTTGATACATGTCATCGATCCCAATTGCGTGGATCGATGCTCATGATATTAATCACTGGATTGTCTGGTCCAGACTCGATTATTTACAGACCGCCTTCATATAGCTGGAATATTGCTGAGTGCGGCGTTAAACAACAAACCAACCAACCAACCAACCAAATCTCAAATGTACACTAGTATACTTTAGCAGCAAACCTACGAGTCAAAGACACCCTTAATTTTGACATTGTTTAGGTGTCCTGGGCCAAATTCCAAAAAGCGATCTTAGCGCTAAAACAATCGTGAGCCCGATTCTTTAAGATATAAACTTATGACAATCGTAGTGCTAAGATCACTTTGTGCAAGGGAGCCCTGATCGTAATCATTGGATGTTCGTTATGTTAACTATGTGGTAATAATGCATGTAAAATACATACTGTCCCTAAGTCTTTCAATATAGAATCAATAGCAATTCTATACTTCATGATGAAATTATTCAAAATGAACTGCGTAAACCATCATTTGGGTTAAAATAATTATTGTTGTGGTTTTCAATTTGAGGTCTGCAAACATAAGGTTATTATCATGATTCTGTTGATAATAACAAAGTATGTATACTGAGAAAAAGTCATCTGAGACAGGGTTACCAAGGCTAATAAACTGCAAAACTTGGACCTTGACATCAGATTTGCTGAAACTTGGTGCAGATGAAAAAAAATGTTAAGCTGCTTTCATGCACCACCATTTGCACTCAATGTTGATAAAGTGGAAAAAATCAGATCATTTTTCCTGTCTTAAACTGCTTCATCATGCAGGGATAGTCTTATTGATTCTATAAACCAGTAATGGCCCTGTCACACTCCATCATATAGCAGTAACGTATGGCGACATACGCGGCAACGCTGAAACACGCTATGGATAAGTTAGGTGTAAGTTGTATACCTTAAAAGCACGCCGGTATACGTTGTAGTACACCGAGGCTTAAAAACATTTTTGTGCATGCACAAAATCTTCGGTGTATGGGAATGTATGAAGGTATGAATTATACGTTAGGCATACGTTAGAGGTACGCTCTACATACGTTTACATACGCCAGATATACGTTACCCTTACGCCCCGTTTTAGGCACCTTTCCTCTACACTGAGCGCGCTAGTCATACGTTACTCATACGCTAGGCATACGCTGGCCATATGTTGAACACGCCGGACACACACTGGCAATACGCTTTTATACGCTGTCATAAGTTATGTATAAGTCAGTGATACGCTACTAATACGTTAGACATGCGTTACATATTAAGTAAACCCTCGTTATGTATACGCTATGGATACGTTAAAATCATGTTTTATTTGATGATAGCTTGACGTATGACTACGTACTAACTGTCTTTTACACGCTAGGTGCAAGTTACTCTTAGTCTAAAATGTTGTAGTGTGACCATAAACATTTTTAGTCCAATAAATATGCAAGTGAGGTCATCATGCAGGAACTACTTTTAATAAGCTCCATGTATCAGTGCAGTCTCCTTGCTAAGTACACTAGTGCCCAACCTTTCCAATAAGTGAAGATACTTTTTTCTCAACTTGTTTCTGTATACAAATATGGCTTCAAATCATTTGGCACTATATTGTAGGTGGGGCAACCACCAATCTCATTCAAATCAGATCTTAGTTCTCGCTACCATCAAACAAAGATCTGAGGACCTTCCATTGCGGGTCATGTCAGAACGACCTTTCATCTGACCAATCAGAGCATTGCTTATCAGATCATGAAAGTGATAGTTGGAATGTGATTGAAAAAACAAAACAATACAGGGTATTCAGTAAAGACAGTTATGGGCGTTGTGTCTGTATTCATACAATCTAGACCATCTATTAGCCATTCCAGAATGTTCTTTTGTCCAGTTTTTATTTTTTTAATAGAGTATATGTCAGAATATGTTTCGAAGCGTCGTCGCCAGTTTGAAACTCGTGCTGTAAAGCTCGATTAAGCTGCCCTCTGATTCGCTATTGTCGACTTCTTGTCAGTCATTCAGTTAGCATGGTTAGACGGTCAGTTTGTGAAAGGTCAGTCTGACGGAACCCGTAATGGGATGCACTCAGATCTTTGTTTTGCGGTAGCGAGAACTAAGATCTGATTTGAATGAGATTGGCCGACCACTATAGCAATGTATTTGTACACAGTTTCTATTTCTAAAGTTACTTCCGGGGAGTGAAATTATCTCGTTATTTCCCTTGGGCGTTGCAGCATCATCATATCATATATCAGGAATATAAAATATGTATTAATATGTTTGCCAAGGCTTTTATAATATGGTTAAAATTCCTTATAAATGTCATTAATGATGTTCAAGATATGGAAACACACTTAGCTAATAATCTCTACACCAAATACGTTGATGCTTGGCATGAAAGTTTGTTAGTGTTACCGTAAAGTATGAACATCACATTGAGATTGTTTTGTTACTCATATAGCCAGGTCTCATTACGCAGACACATTTTCCTTCTTGGCTAAAGACTACACCACATGTAACATCCAGCTCATTTGGAATGGCCCTGTGGGGACTCCAGGTTAGACTTGGTCCTGTGACAGCAACCTTCGCTGTTCGTGAGGAGCAACCAAATGGATAGGTTGGTCAGTCCTGGTGACTTGGTTGATTTTAGGGCTGTCATGATAAATCGAAATATCGATATATTGCTATTGGTAAGCACTTAAAGTCAATAAATCGATTGTTTAATCAGTTTACAAACAATAGTATCGATTTCAGTTAGGAATATCGATAGTTTCCATTGTACATGCAATGCTGTTCAAATTTGTTTTTCTTTTGATCATGAGTGGTAGTAATTCACACATGGTAATGTGGAAGTTTCTTTTTCTTAAATTATTAGGGTAAAGAAAAAACAAATCAGTCATATCTCAAACTTTACTTTTTATTTGTTGTTATGGTTATCACATTCAAAGGAAACTTCAGTTCCAAGGTTTAATTCAACTCTAAAATCAATCTAAACTGATGCACTTAAAACTATCGATATTTATCGCAATAGTTGCTTGCAACATCAATAGTTATTGTAATCGTTTCTTTCAATATAAATAGTTTATCGCAATAGTGATTTCGTACCCCGAGGGCATGGATCGTTGCTCATGATATGAATCCCATGATTGTTTGGTCATTGTTTACTGCTGAGAATGCTGTTTAACAACAAACACAGGCACACAATGTATCTGGTTAGCATGAGTGCCTTGCCTGTTTACATATGATCATGGCGATATACAGAAAAGGAGCAAAACTGCTAGCCCATTCAGCATGTTCAGCTAAAAAACTTGATCATTTGTTAAAATGCTTAGAAAACGATATTTGTGATCAAGTTTACACATGAGCTGATGGAAGAATGCATCCTGAATTACGTGCTTAATAAAGTTTTATTTCATTCCAGTTCACAGAAGAAAAACTTGGATCTGCAGAGAAGACAGAACTTGATGCTCACTTCGAGAACCTCCTCCAGAGATCGGACAAGACGAGGATATGGACAGAGAGAGTCCTCAAGGGCACAGAGTGTGTCATACAACCAAACCCAAGTAAGTTGACAATCAGCTTCTATTGTCCAGTGTATTAGGTCTTTGACTGACATTTAGAAGTTGGAAGAGCATGAAGTCTGTGCAAAACACTTTGAGACTTGTAGCCCCAAATATGTCTCTGTGCATAATGTTCAGTGGAATTTAGTGTTATTATATGGATTATCATTAGCTGAGCTTACCAGACCAATCAGAATTTTGCTAGACTCAGGCTTTAGACTAGTGGCTAAGGTCACAGAATGAGACATGACACTTTTATCATGTTTATGGATACCAGCTTCTTTATGGTTTGAAACATACAGTGTTTGAAATAATTGAAGAACTTAACAAGACAGTCGGGCAGGTGACCCATACATTTTGCCTGCCCATCCTCAAAGTTACCTGCCTGCATACAGACATTATTTATTATAAATTATCAATATTGAAAAAATGCGATGTGATGATGAAAAGAGATGTTGGTAGGATTGTGATGTTAGTAGGATTGTGATGTTGGTAGGATTGTGATGTTGAAAGGATTGTGGTGTTGGAAGGATTTTGATGTTGGTAGGATTGTGATGTTGGTAGGATTGTGATGTTGGGAGGATTGTGATGATGAGAGGATTGTGATGATGAGAGGATTGAGATGTTGGGAGGATTGTGATGATGAGAGGATTGTGATGAGAGGATTGTGATGTTGGGAGGATTGAGATGATGAGAGGATTGTGATGATGAGAGGATTGAGATGTTGGGAGGATTGTGATGATGAGAGGATTGTGATGTTGGGAGGATTGTGATGATGAGAGGATTGTGATGATGAGAAGATTGTGATGATGAGAGGATTGTGATGATGAGAGGATTGAGATGTTGGGAGGATTGTGATGATGAGAGGATTGTGATGTTGGGAGGATTGTGATGATGAGAGGATTGTGATGATGAGAAGATTGTGATGATGAGAGGATTGTGATGTTGGGAGGATTGAGATGTTGGGAGGATTGTTTAGATGAGAGGATTGCAATGTTGGGAGGATTGCGATGTTGGGAGGATTGAGATGTTGAAAGGATTGAGATGTTGGGAGGATTGTGATGATGAGAGGATTGTGATGTTGGGAGGATTGTGATGATGAGAGGATTGAGATGTTGGGAGGATTGTGATGATGAGAGGATTGTGATGTTGGGAGGATTGAGATGTTGGGAGGATTGTTTAGATGAGAGGATTGCAATGTTGGGAGGATTGCGATGTTGGGAGGATTGAGATGTTGAAAGGATTGAGATGTTGGGAGGATTGTGATGATGAGAGGATTGCGATGTAGGGAGGATTGCAATGTTGGGAGGATTGTGATGATGAGAGGATTGTGATATTGCAGATCAGAGGATGGAGGACATGATGTACGAGAAGCTGGAGAAGAAGAAGAAGGACAGGATGACGTCAAGCGAGTCACTCGGCCAGCACATGGTGGACGCCGGCAACGACTTTGGTCCAGGAACATCTTATGGTGAGTTGACCTGACAAGTGATTGTTTTGAGGAGAGCTGTTGCCCGGGAAATATTTTCAAAGACCAGGGATTTAGGTCATGACAATTTGATTGTTTAATCACTGGAGAAATTTCATTTCCCAAAATTATATCCACCTGTCATCAAGATCCTTTTCAAGGACAGACTTCTGACCTCAAAATACAGAACACTTGCTGTTGCCTCTGTGTGAGTGGTAGACCCACTGAACACTGTATTGAACACTGTTGTATCCTACTGTGAGAGATTATGGGGCTGAAAACACAGAACATTGGTGCAACACCTCCTGACCTCAGGCCCACACTGCAGTTTCTTCTCTCATAGACACTCTAACATGTCTGACTTGGCACTTCTTGACAACAATATACCCAGGCCTTGTGGAGTCTGATGCAGCCAATTGCTGATCCATGACTACGTGGAGGTCAGCACCTCACCAGTGCTCACACCAGCTGCAGCTGCGACTACATGTTACTCCAGCTGCAGCTGTGACTACATGGAGGTCAGCACCTCACACCAGCTGCAGCTGCGACTACATGTCACTCCAGCTGCAGCTGTGACTACATGGAGGTCAGCACCTCACACCAGCTGCAGCTGTGACTATACAGAGGTGAGTACCTCACACCAGCTGCAGCTGCGACTACATGTTACTCCAGCTGCAGCTGTGACTACATGGAGGTCAGCACCTCACACCAGCTGCAGCTGCGACTACATGTTACTCCAGCTGCAGCTGTGACTACATGGAGGTCAGCACCTCACACCAGCTGCAGCTGCGACTACATGTTACTCCAGCTGCAGCTGTGACTACATGGAGGTCAGCACCTCACACCAGCTGCAGCTGTGACTACATGGAGGTCAGCACCTCACACCAGCTGCAGCTGTGACTACATGGAGGTCAGCACCTCACACCAGCTGCAGCTGTGATTACATGGAGGTCAGCACCTCACACCAGCTGCAGCTGTGACTACATGGAGGTCAGCACCTCACACCAGCTGCAGCTGTGATTACATGGAGGTCTGCAGCTGGGGCACTGTTGTCCTGGAAGGACACATTCTGTATGCATTGTGAACCATGTATCACGTTCGATTATGATTGGCATGTGTATAAGCCCAAGTAGGGATGGGGGTAGCATTTGGAACTGATTTTCTACTTCAACCTCTGTGCACTTCAGCATAAACACATTGACAACAGGGCTGTGTCCACCTTGGTAGTCCTTGTGCTTAACATAGTCAGCTCTTGTTCAGTGTCAGTTCAAATGGCTAAGCCTAAGAATTGACTTAACCCGATTTCTACTTATTCATTGTGTTCACACTTGGGTAATTATGAGAAATCTTGGCATATGATTGCCTTATATACAAGTACATACTTTGATGTTATGAGTCACGTCTTCAGTGAAAATTTTTCACTCTTGTATTGATTTTGGTATTGAATTATTGAATTATCCACCCAAAAACAAAATAATGATTCATTAAATAAAAACCTGTTGTATCAACCATCTATGACAAGGAAATAAAGTTTGTATCTATAACGTCTATGACTCATTGTATAAGGTGGAAATAGGAATCAGCTGTACAAACACTTTGGTCTGGCTCTACCGGGGATTCAGTTCAAAATGCTCAATATAATAACTTGAAGAATTTTAGTGCAATGACAGGAAGAAAATATATCTCAGGAATATTGTAACAGGAATAAAACATACTATTATCTTGCTTTTTTAGCAGCTGTTTTTACTAAATATGTTTGAAATAAGAATTATATGTAGCACTTTTGTTTATTGCTGGATATATTTACATATAAAACAATTTGACACGTCCCCATTTGAGATCAACCAATCATGATGTGGAGGTTTCCCATGGTTTGACTGCCTCCGTGGTCTAGTGGTAGAGCGTCCGCCTGGAGAGCGGAAGGTCCGGGGTTTGATCCCTGGCCGCGTCATACCAAAAGACGTTTAAAGATGGTACTTGTTGTAACCCTGTCTGGCGCTCGGCATTAAGCATGTTAAGGGGCTAAAACAAGGACTGGTTGGCTCGGAGTCAGTATACTGTGTCTGAGTGGGGTATTTATGTTAAACTGCGGCATGGTATCTCAGTGAGCTTGCACTATAAATCGGCATCAGTCCGGACTAGTACAAGCAGCCACACAAACACACACACGTACATGCACGTCGCTGTATAAGTGCAATAATCTTGTACGTGACTTTAAACCCCATTTCACCTCACCTCCCATGGTCTTGTAACTTCAGCTGATGAAACAATATACCAACATGTAGTAGACACACAATGCCAAATAAAACTTTTTTTGGCATTATGACAAATGTACAAATTCTCTGACAACTGAGGTTTGCTTCAAGGAGTCAGAAGTGGTAATCATGGTTGCTGAAAATCTGCCTGTCAGTTATGCGGCGTTAAACAAGAAACAAACAAAACTAACAAACAAAGTTTACAAACATAATTGCCGAAATTAATGTAAAGAATATTGTATGAAATTTTGAATAAGATTAATAAACTAGATTAGAAACATAAGTCCAGATATACAGTGAACAATTTTTATGTCAATGTAGTGTAATACCAGGACTTAGTTCTTCAGAACACATTAGTTGACTAAGATATCAGTGTTTCTCGCTATTGGTATTATGTTTGGTTTGGGGAAAATATTAATATTCCTTTTCTGCTTGTATAATGTGCACTGCTCTGTACACAGCTGGGTGAAAAAAGGTTTGCATTATACATGTATGAAAAACAGGAAATATAGTATTCATAAATAATTTTTCATGTGCATAACCTTATATGCATGAAATTTATCGCTATTTTGTGTATTCGTTACAGCCCTTATAGATACACAGACTTGAGGTAAAAATAATAATATTCAGAACTTTTTGTGTTTCATCTCATGACTGTAACTATGTAATATATATGCAATCATAGCCATGATGTTTGTTGAAATGGGGGGCCTCAAAAGTGTATCTCGTGATCTCAAATTATGATGAACAAGGGAGAGAACTCTATCATTTATTATGTAGGAATCAGCCACGATGGATCGATTTGGTGAAATATGAATGTCAGTTGAGCATTATGTAATATAGATATGTGCTGTTGATGAATTCATTTTAAAGACAGCGTAATCACAAACTATATTTTGTGTGTGTGACGTGTCAGCAGGAAAAATTAAACGAGAATTTGTAATATATTTGTTTTATTTGAAGATCAACTGGATCGTGGATCTGTGATGTGACAGATATAAAAATAATTGCCTTATGAGAGTCTTGATTATACCTGTGAATTGTGATCCTAAAACACCGAATATGTATTATTTAGAGGTTCACCAGTTGATGTATGTACAAAACAATGTCAGCCTGCCCACAGAATGAAAATTGAAATGATGACAGTATCACTTTCCCCAGTGTGGGATGACTGCTCTGTGTACTGCAGACCAGCTGTTACAGGTGTATATCTTAGCCTGGATGGGCAATCAATACTCATGTCACGACATTCTTGTTGCCAGCTCATGACATCACAGCTGTCATGCCGAGAAGTTTCTCATGACGCTTCAGTTAATTCATGTCTAGCAAGTCACAAGGATGACTAACTGTTTGCATGACTGTATTCACCTTAATATCCTGAACAAAAAGGTTAGGGATCATGAATATATTTGGGGATATTTTTTTTAAATTGTGTGCTCAGTCTTCACGACTAAAAAATATCCCCCATAGTATTCACATGAGCCCTACTCTCTCTCTCACTGACTCACTCACTCGAACTACACTCACCCACACAACTGCTCAATCAAACACCGCTCGTTCGCTCACTCACTCACTTACTCACTCGAACACCACCCACCCACACAACCGCTCAGACCGCCTCCGTGGTCTAGTAAGTGGTAGAGCGTCCACGCGGAAGGTTCGATCCCCGGCTGCGTCATACCAAAAGACGTTAAAAGACGGTACTTGTTGTTACCCTGTCTGGCGCTCGGCTTTAAGGGGCTAAAACAAGGACTGGGTCGGCTCGGAGGGGTATTCATGTTAAACTGCGGCATGGTATCTCAGTGGGCTAGCACTATAAATCGGCATCAGTCCGGACTAGCACAAGCAGCCACACACACACGTACATGCACGTCGCTATATAAGTGCAATAATCTTGGACGCTACGTTAAACCCAATTTCACCTCAACACACAAGCCGCTCACTCAAACACAACTTGTTTGCTCACTCACTCACTTACTCACTTGAACCCCGCTCGCTCGCTCACTCACTCACTCACTCACTCACTCACTCACTCACTCACTCACTCCACCCAACCACCCAGTCACTGACTGAGATATGTCAGGATGACTCCCAGTGTTCCTGCTCCAGTGTGGTCACCAGGATAAGTGCCTGTGTTAAACTCACATAGACTCAGCCTCTTATTGTGGCCTCAAAACGTGCAGTCATGGGGCTTGCTGAGTGTGTGCAGGAGTATGTCATAACTATAAGTCCATATGTCATATATAATTGAAATTTCTCATGGTACATGCCATTGTTGGGCGTGGCGTATAGAAAGTGTTGATAGACGGTTGTATTCAATTCTGCATAATGGCTGTGCTCAAACCACATGCTGTACGGAGGCAGCTGTGTCAGCAATTTCACACTTACCTGCAATGTCTGTGTCAATATAGTTAAAGTGTCTCCTACAGGCTTCCGTGTGTGCATTTGTTGCAAACTTTGTAGGATTCAGTCGTGATGGACAGCTGAATAATACTTTATAGGATTCAATCAGGAGAGACAGCTAAATTAATCTGTGTAGGATTCAATCATGAGAGACATCTAATTCATATAGTGTAGGATTCAATCAGGAGAGACATCTAATTCATATAGTGTAGGATTCAATCAGGAGAGACATCTCATTCATATAGTGTAGGATTCAATCAGGAGAGACATCTCATTCATATAGTGTAGGATTCAATCAGGAGAGACATCTCATTCATATAGTGTAGGATTCAATCAGGAGAGACA